GCTGGTTACTCGAAAATTTCTTTTCTTGTGTTGGGAAGGATATACGATCGTTCATACGTCAAAGAAAAGCGGACGCAACCGGTTTTCTTTTTTCCATTTTTATTTTCTTGGTTAAATGCTTATTTTGGTCTCCCAACTTTATTGATTTACATATTTTTGATTCCTAAAGTATTTTGTGCATATTTTTTATCCCTCAACTCTAAAAAATGAACAATGTTAGTCATTCCGTCAATTTGGACTGTTAACTCCACTCATGTAGTATTTTTTATAATTTTTTTAATGATGTGACAAATTACGAGGCATTTTTTATATTTCTTTTAATGATGTAACAAATTAAATTAAATCTAAATGCTTATATAGATAAAAAATGATGTGCAAGTCAGATTTCACTAAATCATTAAACCATAATTATTTATGTTAATTAAAATTGAGATTCTAATTAATTTATAATTAAATCACGATTTTCTTATCAAAATTTCTTTATAGACATTATAATTTTTTTCTCGACAATCAAACAAATTGAAACCATTTTCTCAGCATCCAAATATCCAAACTGTACAATTTTCTAACCAACCAAATGGAAACCCACTAAAAATTGCTTCTTTGCTCATTAATCATTGCTTGTGTTCTTTCCATTGTCAGTGATATTCTTTTCATTTTGAACATTAAAATCATTTAGACAATAACTAGGAAATATGAAGCAAAAGGATCTCAAAGATCCCTCACAACTTGCAATTTGCATAAACTTTTCGCAACAAATATATAACAAAAAAAAAAAAAAAGAAGTGGAGCTAGGTTCGGTGGAACCTAGTTGCTAGGTTCCTCAAATCGAACCCAATAGATGGGTTCCATCGAATCCAAGCTGGGTTCCCTTGAACCCAAATTAGCTGGGTTTGAGGGAATCCAACAACACAGAGGAAGAAAAAAAAGAAAGAAAGGAAGATGGATTGAAAGAGGGGAAGAAGATGGATCAAGAAAGGGAGACATGGGTATTAAGGTAAATTTGTAGTTTTTTTATTTTTTATTAAAAATATAAATACTAATATAATTTGGTATATGCGTTGACGTACTTATTTTCAATTTATATGATGTGTTATTGTTATGTCATAAAAAAATTAAAAAAAATGTCACTGTGTAACTTTTTAATTACCATGTCACTAACAGAAAATCAATATTATGCATTTTTTAGACTTGAGGGATAAAAAATGTGCACAAAGTACTTTAGGGACCAAAAATGTGCAAATCAATAACGTTGAGGGACCAAAATGAGCATTTAACCTATTTGCTTTGGGTGGCCGTCAAAGTGGAGGCAACTTTAAACCTAATGAAGCTGCATTTTTTTCGTCCTCTTTTCAAATGTGAAGCTTGGAGGCTTTCCGTTTCAGACACTCTT